TTCACTGATCCATGAAAATGAAATAATATCATTTTATTATTTTGTGAAACAATTTGTTTCAGGTCAGTTTGCCCAGTATAGACCAGTATAATGACCCTAATGGAACCTAATTCACTCATTTTCCTCACCCTAATCAGTAACTGCTTCAAAGTCGTACAGTGGCCATTTGTCTTTCTGCGAAATACCCCTGACGACCCTTTCCTGAATCAAAACCATTGGATGGCATTGAATGCAACATTCTCACTCACTGCAGATCCTCAATTAACCCCCCGCCCCCCTAAGAATGAGATCCCAAACCCCTCCCTTTTGAAGAAAAATGTCGTAAAATAATCAAAGTACCTCTTCATGGGCACGAAACGTTTGGTGCAATTCATACCATACAATATCGCTGTATCAAGTACTGTTCTCGGTGCAGGAGGAGGGGGTACTATAATGGCCTAAACAGAGCCTGAAGCCTTTTTCAGGCTTCAGGTACATGAAAGGGAAGGGGTTTTTATAGTTGAAGTATATGAAAGGGACCAAAATGAGATCAGTCACAGATGCATTTTATGGATGTGAGAGACAAGAAAACCTGTTTTTGTAAAGATGGTGTATTTACAGCAGTTAAAAAGGGATGCAGCGTTCAAAATTAGGTATGTGAAAGGGGTACCATTTGTCACAAGAGGGTATACAAAACGGGTACCTTTTCTGTCTAAAATGGTACATACAAAGGGTAAAGGGTTGGTCCCTGGGGCAGAGCCTCTTTGGTGAGTACTCACCCCCCCCCCTCTCTCTGGGTTACTGTTACTCTAGTCTGATTCTTCTCTTTAATTTCTTTGATACTGTGCTTCATTAAATGAATTAAAATTCATTTAAAAGCTTCTTGCCCCTTTTTTGAAAACCCCAATATGTTAAAAGAAATTATGTCCCCTGGAGGGGAAATAATATCAGGGAAAATGGGTAGCAAGATCTTTTGTGTTATTTTACATACATTGAGTAAGCGTAATGTGGAAACTATACACATACAGTTGCGCGTTTTTACTGAAAAACATATCGGCACTCCAATCTTTTGCGTCCCATCACTTGTGTGAGACCTTAGACTCTTTATTTCCAAAACTACAGACAGCTTGTTTGAAGGCTTATCAACCACCTTCTAATAAGCTGCCAGCCTCTGCAACATTGATGATGTGATGCTTGATGGTAGGTGCACTGCAATATTACTGAATCAAGCTAATAAAGCAGCTTGACAATATTAACTGGTTTAAGTCACTGACACATTCATTTTTACACTGAGCTTGAAATATTTTTCTCCACAGTAAAAATAATGTTCATTAAAGAGAAGCAGAGCTCCCCTCTGCAAAAACATTAAAGGAGTGCCCCTAGAAAAAAAAAAGCATCCAGAGGGCTAAACAGAGGAAGTATACTTACCATGTATATTTTAACAGCTAGCCTTTAGAAAGTACCTTCCAACCAAAGACTTCAAAGTACTTCTCCCACGTATACTTGCAACACTTAATATTGCAGCTCAGTTGTGGTTCACTTTTATCCTAAGTTTGAATTTTATTTTCTTTGTTTTGAACTCATAATCATAAAATTCATATTACCGTACCCCCAAACAAAGGGAAGCAAAATTTAAACCTAGGTTATAATTAAATAAAACCACAGCATAGCCATTTGCTTTGAAACAACTGATATCTTTAAGACCAAGGTATGATTGATGTTCCTGGCACATTGCCCGTTAATATGTTTAAAGTTGCCTTTTATTGATGTATTAAATAACCTGATCCATCTTATCTTTTCAAATAATACAATTGCACTTACTTCTCATCATAGGATTGTAAATATAATATTATTAGACTTACAGTTTTATCTCATCGCCAACATGTTTTAATTTGGGCTTGAAAAAACGCTACAGCTAAGAAGGAGCTCCACTGCTACACTATTACTGTCGAGGAAATACACCTGGCTGCTTCGATCTACGTTATCTTTCAGCATGTATTTAAGCCAAAACCCTACGAAAAGTGTCAAGCAAAAGTAGTTCATTGCTTTGTGAGTTAGACCCAGTATAGATTCGCTTGAGTTCCAAATATGGCTGTGCATTGAGGGTTTTTGTCCCGACTGTAGCTTCTTTCAACTGCTGTTGGAGCGTATTTTGTTGTTTAGTAAAACGCAAAAAGGTGAAAAATGTCATGACATTATTACCTCCGTATTATTTCAAGCACCTCATGAGCATATAGTTCATTAGTAAAATAGCGACCTTAAGTGTTGTTTCGACGCTTCTCTATCATCGATCTTACCGGGTCGTTGATCCTTACCGGCCATTTTGGATTTTTGTGGAGGTTTCCGCTGACAACTCGTTCCCAGACTTCCGTTCCCCGATCCCCGTTCCCCGCTCCCCGTTCCCCGTTTTAGTAACATCCGGGTCCAGGCATTTCGGAGAAAACCAAGGGAACTGAGGTTATTTAGCCGCAATAAAAAGCTGAAGGCTTAAACAAAGGTAAAAGAAAATCATTTAATGGTAAACTGCAGCTGTGATCAAATCCTGTCAAAAAACATTTGCCGAAACATAAACCGCAGGAACTAATTGCTCAATATGCATGGAACAGACCACAGCTGAGACCAGCTTCTTAACCTCTAAATGTGAGACTCAAAGCGGCAAAAAATACTCCATGCACTGCATAAAATACGCAAAAAGAGAGCAAGAAAAACCTCTGAGTGACCACTTTTTCCTAGGGCCAAAGATTGTTTTGTTTCGTTTCGTCGAATACTAATTGTTTCGTTTCGTCGAATACCAATTGTTTCGTTTCGGTTCGTCGAATACCATAAGCCCAGTAAAACAACAACACAGCTAACTAAGAACTACAAAGTGTGTTGTAAATATTGCTTTTCGTTTTGTTTAAAGGTCAGTTCAGCATTCTTTCTTAGTAGTGTTGCTTTGTCTTTCCAAATTAATTGGCAGATAATAACCTGGATTTATAAAAAATATGTTGTTTTAGGCGTTTGTTTCTCTAGTAAATTCGCAAATTGTAAGTGTACTCACAGGACTAAATCAACTAAATTAAATGCGCTTGAGAACTCGTTTGGTTTGTTCTGAGATAATTTATATATCCTTTGAAAAAGTTCGCGATTTATTTCTCCAAGATTTTTAAAGATTTATGTACTGAAAATAGGGCAAAATTGCCGAGGAAAATATAAAGGCAACAGAAAAACAGAAATTTCAGTATTCTAAATTCGAGCGCGCCTAGCCAAAATATTAAAACTAGAACATCGTGTCACCGTCTTTTCGAAAACTTTTTACCTTCTGCGCCAACGGAAATAACCTTCGAGATCGCCTTTAATCTCGTAAGAAGTTAAATGTGATTGTGCTGACTGTTTTATTTTTAATTTAAAAAATTATAGAGTAAAACTGAGCTATTTTTTAAGTCAGCGAGTCTGCAGTTTTCCCACGTATGAAAACTTTGCATACTAAAAAAACAAGAAACGGAAGTAATTTTGTTTGGCTGATTCAGCAAATGGCAATCAATCAAAAAAGTGGGCGGCAGACGTTTAGTAGGTTTGTATCGGGCTCTCTTTTCGTTTTGCCTTGCCCGCCGGAATATTATTTACAAAGCGAGACTTGAGCCTGATCTTAGGTTAAGATTTTATTTTTTCCTAGGTTTAAATTTTTTTTTTCAAACTTGTTCTGATTCCTTTACTATTCCCATTAAGAGGGGAAATAAAACTAGCCTAAGGTAAATTTGGGCACTTAGTCATAATCATATCTACGTATACTTTGGTTCCTTACTAAAAACAGTGAATTTGCTTTTGAAAAATCAGTTCTGTTTCACTTGACGTAAATCCTTAAGACGCACGCTAACTTGCAACTGATTAGCCCAGGTCCTTTGTATGGCTTTTTATCCGACTTTTTTCATCGTGTTTCGTTTTCAATTTTGCTTGTTCCTTTGCTAGTCCAGCTCCCAAATTTAACCTTCATAATACTGTGTATGATCGGTTCAATTCACTCCCAACTGCCAAATCAGTTGCGCCTACAATTTCTCAATGGTCGAGACACTGGCCTTTTTTTCTCAACTTCCTTCACGCCAATAAAAGAACCAAGATCCATGAAACGCTTGTTTTTAAGTTTTGTGTTAAGTAGCTCTGCACCATTTATGGTTGAATTAAAAGAATGCATATTTCTAATCAAAGGGGTGGGACTCGGAGTAGGGTCATTTTGTCTTCTGGTCTGCTGACAGCTGTCGGAAAATGCTGTATGAGGTGGGGATACAAAAGAATACGCTTATTTAAAAAATATTAACTTAATGTATAATTTATGAAAATCTGAGAAAGAAAGAGCTTGTCAAAACTTACCTCATATTTCTCGTAGTTTATAGTGCAGCAATTATTAAGGCAGCACAAATACATAAAAAGTACTATAAGAAGGAATAATGGAGAAGTCTTTTTATCCACAATTTGTTTTTCCCAGATACCACCGCTTGATAAACATGATACTAGACATACTAGAATAGGCCCTTTGCAGCTGGCTCATTCTCTCTTGCTTTTACTTGGTGCAAACTACCATCCTCGAGAGCAAGAGACGCACTGGGGCAAGACAAACAAAAGAAACTACAATTTTAAATCATATGAGCGCTTTGTTTGTCTTGTCCCAGTGTGCCCCTTGCTCCTCTGCATGGCGCTTTTGTACCAGTATGACTGGCCTAAATAGCTGCAAAGGACCTATTGCGCACGACTTACTGTTCACTCTATTGAAAGAAAGTACAAATCTCTCTCTTTGCTTTGTTTTAATAATATCGACTTCCATAGCCTGAAAAGCTTATTGAAAAGGTTCACTAAGTGTAAGTGATTGATATCACCCTCGCTTAAGCATCATCAAATATTCAATGGCAACAGTTACAATCATGTTTTTTTATTCGGGCACTCGTATAGTATAAAATGTCTTACAATTACGTGCCTGAATCTTGGATGCCTAAAAAATATTAATTCTGATTTATTTACACTTAAATTTCTGTTACCAAGACAGCTTTATGGATGACAAACAGGAAAAGGTTTTGAGCGAGAACTGGCGTGTACTCAGAAAATGCCTAGAGCCAAAAAAGCTCTTACCTCACTTGGAGACAGTTTTAGACTACGAAGATAAAGAGACAATTAAAAACCAAACAAATCGGACGGATCAGAGCGACTTGCTGCTAGATATCCTACACAGGAGAGGACCAAGGGCATTTGACTGCTTCGTGAAAGCGTTGCAAAAAGAAAAGACTCAGGATTACTTAGCTCATCTTTTAAAGAAGCAGATAGGTAATAACTCTAGCTCATTGTCTTTATTATAGTTGCCACGGCAATCTGGTGGTGGTCTATAAGAGTGTAGACCATGGAAAATTGTGGTCGATTTGTTTCCCCTGTACTTGAATTAATATGTAAGGTCTTTCTTTCTGTATGTTTTTGTATTTCTTTTCTTTTCTTTTTTCTTAAGTAATTTAATAACGTCTTTATTTAAAGTCTTGTCCTGCCTAGATTAGCATTAAAGTTATTTGCAGGGCATAAAGTATTCTAAACTTTATATTTCTTTAAATAAATACATTGTTGTTGTTTACAAATATAACATTTATTTTTCGCTAGTTGTTGCAAGGCGTCCTCCTCCAACTGCGCGAAGCGACGTTTTTCTGGTTGTTTTTCGTATTTTTGCTCTACTTTGGCAGCTTCATGCACCAGCTCACTCACAGAAATTTCTCCCCATATGTTAAAAATTGGTTCTTCTTTGTCCATGTGGAGGAGTAAAATTATTTTTACAAAAATAAAACAAAAACAAAACAACCGACACTGCGTGACATGTTACGTAGTTGCCATGGTCTATACTCTCATAGACTATACCTCTCGACCAATCAGCGCGCGAGGATTCGCTCAGTTATGGTAAAAAAACCTACGAACCAGAGCAAACGACTTGAATGATTTTTTTTATTTCTTCTACAGAGAACAAGCGGCTCGAAATCGAACAGGAAAATTTGAAAATCCAAACAGAACAACTAAAGACCAAATTGCAGTCTTTTGAAGAGAACAAACGCTTACGTAAGTGGAAGAAATCAGAAGCCGTTGAGCAGTTGACCCCTAAAACGTTTCACAACCAGATGTGAAAAGTTCAATATCGACTTGCCTGGGTGCAGACGTCTCCTATTTCCTTTGTTGCACGCGGAAAAGGGACGTCTGCGTAACGCCGTCGCTAATCGTGTTCCAGCGTTCGGCTGGCAGGGTATTCTATTTCGCATAAATTGTTAAATAATATCCGGTTAGAAATAAGAGTTGACAGGCCAAACACAACATCATAAGCTCGTGATAATGCGATACGTGACCTTAACAGAGGTTTTTCATCTTTTTTCTCTCGCGCAAAAGTAACTAGCACTACATAGTGCATGTAGCATTCTAAACTTTGACTGAGTAAATCTCGTTTTTGCCGCACTAAGTTTTACATTTAGAGGTCGTGAAGCAGGTACTGAGTAATCTATTCCTGTGGCTTACGCTTCTATGGGTGTCCCTGATAGGATTTGATTTCAGATGCAGTTGTAAAGTGTTTAAATTTTCTTAGACCTCTGTTTGTTAGGGCTAAATAAAGATTTTAGTTTCTTTGCCTGGCTTTCTCCGAAATGCCTGCCTGGTGCGAAGTCCACGCCGCTTTTGTAGTTTTCTCAGACACTGTTTACAAATATGATGTCATGTATCATGCACAGTAAAATTGTAAAGACATGGTTTCCTCGCAAATGTTAAATTTTCCTCGGCCTCGCACAAGATTTCGAACGGTCTGCACACAATGGCACATGTTTTGATTTGTTGTTATCTGGAAAACCCCGATTACACAAATCACCGCATACATTATGAGACCAGATTCGATTACAACCAATCAGCGTAAAGCCAAACAATGCGCACTGTGTGTCAGCCTATCACAGCATGTTCCCAAGATCTTGAGAACCCAGCGGGACGCTGGAACACGATTAGCGACAGCGTTACGCAGACGTCCCTTTTCCGCGTACAACAAAGGAAATAGGAGACGTCTGCACAGAGGAAAAAGATCGACAGGATACTTATAATTATAATACACCACATGCGCATACTGACAGTCTGCAGAAGTGCCTACTGTCAAAACCCCTTTTGCGAGGGGCTGAGGGGCTGTAGAAAGAGTCCTTATTAAGCGGGTTGAATTGAAAGAAGATTTAAGGGCTTTCTTTCCCCAGGGACAAAGCAAACTGTACGTAATAATGAGGTGTCCGTATTAAGCGGGGTTTGACTTCACATGCAAGCAAAGTAATAACGAGGTGTTGTATTTGTCATCGTTCTTGTGCTCTGCAGCTAGTACTCACCAAAGAATGCATGGTTATGTTTTGTCATCTCTCGCCGAAGCTCGTCTGCTTCTTTTGCATTCCTCACTATATGCAGTGCGTTGTGCTTCAACCATCCTTTCTGTCACGCCCCACCTTAGTATTATATAGAAAAAAATTCGCTCGGCCTCTCACGTGGACAGTTATGGCAAAAAAAAAAAACCCATGAACCAGAACAAACGTCTTGAATGATTTTTTTTATTTCTTCTACAGAGAACAAGCGGCTCTTGGAACTCGAAATCGAACTGGAAAATTTCAAAGACCAAACAGAGGAACTAAAGACCAAATTGCTGTGTTTTGAAGAGAACAAACGCTTACGTAAGTAGAAGAAATCAGAAGCCGTTGAGCAGTTGACCCCTAAAACGTTTCACAACCAGATGTGAAAAGTTCAATATCGACTTGCCTGGGTGCAGACGTCTCCTATTTCCTTTGTTGCACGCGGAAAAGGGACGTCTGCGTAACGCCGTCGCTAATCGTGTTCCAGCGTTCGGCGGGCAGGGTATTCTACTTAGCATAAATTGTTAAATAATATCCGGTTAGAAATAAGAGTTGACAGGCCAAACACAACATCATAAGCTCGTAATAATGCGATACGTGACCTTGAGAGTCTGCTTGAACAGAGGTTTTTCATCTTTTCCCCCTCGCGCGCGTAGGTTACTAGCACTACACAGTGCTTGTAGCATTCTAAAATTTGACTGAGTAAATCTCGTTTTTGCTGCACTAAGTCTTACATTTAGAGGTCATGAAGCAGGCTTGTGACATTCACACTGAGTAATCATTTCCTGTGGTTTATGCTTCTATGGGTGTTCTCTGATAGGATTTGATTTCAGATGCAGTTGTAAAGTGTTTAAATTTTCTTTGACCTCTGTTTGTTAAGGCTAAATATAATAAAGATTTTAGTTTCTTTGCCTGGCTTTCTCCGAAATGCCTGCCTGGTGCGAAGTCCACGCCGGTTTTGTAGTTTTCTCAGACACTGTTTACAAATATGATGTCATGTGTCATGCACAGTAAAATTGTAAAGAAATGATTTCCTCGCAAATGTTAAATTTTCCACGGCCTCGCACAAGATTTCGAACGGTCTGCACACAATGGCACATGTTTTGATTTGTTTTGGCTGGAAAACCCCGATCAGACTAAATTCGATAACAACCAATCAGCGTTACGTCAAACAATGCGCACTGTTTGTCAGCCTATCACAGCATGTTCCCAAGATCTTGGGAACTCAGCGGGACGCTGGAACACGATTAGCGACGGCGTTACGCAGACGTCCCTTTTCCGCGTGCAACAAAGGAAATAGGAGACGTCTGCACAGAGGAAAAAGATCGACAGGATACTTATAATTACTAGTAACAGTTGACACTACAGCTGCCCCCGTTCTGTATATTGTCGATCAAGAGTGTTCTTGCTTGTTGTGTAGCTCTTTGAAATATACCAATTCATAATGAAGATTTTCACACATATTCCATACAATAGGTGAGATAAATACAGGAAACGCGACGCTTCAAGCACAGTTTCAGCTCGATTTACACAGCTTTGATCAAAACATTCCCAGTTTCGAGAATAGTTTATTCTAAACCATAAGAAAAGATTTAATTAGAAGTTGAATTTTTCGCTATTTCTCTTTCCCTTTTTACATTCAGTTCATTTTATTTGCCGGAAAGTAAGCCTTCGAAATTAAAAGGACGTTTGATCGATTCACGCTAGCGCATTCTAGTCTTATTTGAAACTTTATAACGGAAGGACTCTGTGAGCAGGGAATAAGTCAGCACAGAATTTGATTGTCGGCGAATTTCTGTAAATGTCCATCACAGTCTGCTAGTGATAAGCTAGCCGTTGTTCACTAGTCTTGCTTGTTTGGGGCTGAGTTTTATTCCCGTCAAAGAGAGAGAAAGAGTGTCTGGCAAGGTTTCCAATATAAATCAAAGATTTGTGAACTCGTGTCTGGCAAACTCTCCAAGTGTTTATATAATATATAAACGCACCCTATAAACCCCCCTGCGCTTAACGAGTGTATTTTGGTCCATAACTTTCAAAACAACTGCTCCACAGAATGTCAATGCGTAACGCAAAAGAGTATCGAAGTGTGACTGCACAATAAGTGTCACAAAATCTACCTGAGCGGTCCCTTCGGGATTTTCTGTCTTTACGTCAACCTAACCATTTCGTACTTGTGGGCGCAAACAATAGAAACGTCATCATTACCTACCGATTCCTCGCGGCCCCAGTTCGAGCAAATCGAGATTTTTTCTAGTATACTGACTGTATATTTGAACTGTAAGTACTGTCCTTAATATACGCGCAAGTTACTAGGGTGTCTCGTCAGGATTTCGCCTCTGGGCGAAATCCCTGCGGGGCAATAATACACCACATGCGCAGACTGACAGTCTACAGAAGTGCCTACTGTCAAAACCCCTTTTGCGAGGGGTTGTAGAAAGTGTCCCTATTAAGCGGGTTGAATTGAAAGAAGATTTAAGGGCTTTCTTTCCCCAGGGACAAAGCAAACTGTACGTAATAATGAGGTGTCCGTATTAAGCGGGGTTTGACTTCACATGTAAGCAAAGTAATAACGAGGTGTTGTATTTGTCATCGTTCTTGTGCTCTGCAGCTAGTACTCACCAAAGAATGCATGGTTATGTTTTGTCATCTCTCGCCGAAGCTCGTCTGCTTCTTTTGCATTCCTCACTATATGCAGTGCGTTGTGCTTCAACCATCCTTTCTGTTACGCCCCACCTTAGTATTCTAGAGAAAAAAATTCGCTCGGCCTCTCACGTGGACAGTTATGGTAAAAGAAAAAAACCTATGAACCAGAACAAACGTCTTGAATGATTTTTTTTATTTCCTCTACAGAGAACAAGCGGCTGTTGGAACTCGAAATCGAACTGGAAAATTTCAAAGACCAAACAGAGGAACTAAAGACCAAATTGCTGTGTTTTGAAGAGAACAAACGCTTACGTAAGTGGAAGAAATCAGAAGCCGTTGAGCAGTTGACCCCTAAAACGTTTCACAACCAGATGTGAAAAGTTCAATATCGACTTGCCTGGGTGCAGACGTCTCCTATTTCCTTTGTTGCACGCGGAAAAGGGACGTCTGCGTAACGCCGTCGCTAATCGTGTTCCAGCGTTCGGCGGGCAGGGTATTCTACTTAGCATAAATTGTGAAATAATATCCGGTTAGAAATAAGAGTTGACAGGCCAAACACAACATCATAAGCTCGTGATAATGCGATACGTGACCTTGAGAGTCTGCTTGAACAGAGGTTTTTCATCTTTTCCCCCTCGCGCGTAGGTTACTAGCACTACACAGTGCTTGTAGCATTCTAAACTTTGACTGAGTAAATCTCGTTTTTGCTGCACTAAGTCTTACATTTAGAGGTCATGAAGCAGGTTTGTGACATTCACACTGAGTAATCATTTCCTGTGGTTTATGCTTCTATGGGTGTTCTCTGATAGGATTTGATTTCAGATGCAGTTGTAAAGTGTTTAAATTTTCTTTGACCTCTGTTTGTTAAGGCTAAATATAATAAAGATTTTAGTTTCTTTGCCTGGCTTTCTCCGAAATGCCTGCCTGGTGCGAAGTCAAGGCCGCTTTTGTAGTTTTCTCAGACACTGTTTACAAATATGATGTCATGTGTCATGCACAGTAAAATTGTAAAGAAATGATTTCCTCGCAAATGTTAAATTTTCCGCGGCCTCGCACAAGATTTCGAACGGTCTGCACACAATGGCACATGTTTTGATTTGTTTTGGCTGGAAAACCCCGATCAGACCAAATTCGATAACAACCAATCAGCGTTACGTCAAACAATGCGCACTGTTTGTCAGCCTATCACAGCATGTTCCCAAGATCTTGGGAACTCAGCGGGACGCTGGAACACGATTAGCGACGGCGTTACGCAGACGTCCCTTTTCCGCGTGCAACAAAGGAAATAGGAGACGTCTGCACAGAGGAAAAAGATCGACAGGATACTTATAATTACTAGTAATAGTTGACACTACAGCTGCCCCCGTTCTGTATATTGTCGGTCAAGAGTGTTCTTGCTTGTTGTGTAGCTCTTTGAAATATACTAATTCATAATGAAGATTTTCACACATATTCCATACAATAGGTGAGATAAATACAGAAAACGCAACGCTTCAAGCACAGTTTCAGCTCGATTTACACAGCTTTGATCAAAACATTCCCAGTTTCGAGAATAGCTTATTCTAAACCATAAGAAAAGATTTAATTAGAAGTTGAATTTTTCGCTATTTCTCTTTCCCTTTTTACATTCAGTTCATTTTATTTGCCGGAAAGTAAGCCTTCGAAATTAAAAGGACGTTTGATCGATTCACGCTAGCGCATTCTAGTCTTATTTGAAACTTTATAACGGAAGGACTCTGTGAGCAGGGAATAAGTCAGCACAGAATTTGATTGTCGGCGAATTTCTGTAAATGTCCATCACAGTCTGCTAGTGATAAGCTAGCCGTTGTTCACTAGTCTTGCTTGTTTGGGGCTGAGTCTTATTCCCGTCAAAGAGAGAGAAAGAGTGTCTGGCAAGGTTTCCAATATAAATCAAAGATTTGTGAACTCGTGTCTGGCAAACTCTCCAAGTGTTTATATAATATATAAACGCACCCTATAAACCCCCCTGCGCTTAACGAGTGTATTTTGGTCCATAACTTTCAAAACAACTGCTCCACAGAATGTCAATGCGTAACGCAAAAGAGTATCGAAGTGTGACTGCACAATAAGTGTCACAAAATCTACCTGAGCGGTCCCTTCGGGATTTTCTGTCTTTACGTCAACCTAACCATTTCGTACTTGCGGGCGCAAACAATAGAAACGTCATCATTACCTACCGATTCCTCGCGGCCCCAGTTCGAGCAAATCGAGATTTTTTTCTAGGATACTGACTGTATATTTGAACTGTAAGTACTGTCCTTAATATACGCGCAAGTTACTAGGGTGTCTCCTCAGGATTTCGCCCCTGGGCGAAATCCCTGCGGGGGCAATAATACACCACATGCGCAGACTGACAGTCTACAGAAGTGCCTACTGTCAAAACCCCTTTTGCGAGGGGCTGTAGAAAGTGTCCTTATTAAGCGAGTTGAATTGAAAGAAGATTTAAGGGCTTTCTTTCCCCAGGGACAAAGCAAACTGTACGTAATAATGAGGTGTCCGTATTAAGCGGGGTTTGACTTCACATGCAAGCAAAGTAATAACGAGGTGTTGTATTTGTCATCGTTCTTGTGCTCTGCAGCTAGTACTCACCAAAGAATGCATGGTTATGTTTTGTCATCTCTCGCCGAAGCTCGTCTGCTTCTTTTGCATTCCTCACTATATGCAGTGCGTTGTGCTTCAACCATCCTTTCTGTTACGCCCCACCTTAGTATTCTAGAGAAAAAAATTCGCTCGGCCTCTCACGTGGACAGTTATGGTAAAAGAAAAAAACCTATGAACCAGAACAAACGTCTTGAATGATTTTTTTTATTTCCTCTACAGAGAACAAGCGGCTCTTGGAACTCGAAATCGAACTGGAAAATTTCAAAGACCAAACAGAGGAACTAAAGACCAAATTGCTGTGTTTTGAAGAGAACAAACGCTTACGTAAGTGGAAGAAATCAGAAGCCGTTGAGCAGTTGACCCCTAAAACGTTTCACAACCAGATGTGAAAAGTTCAATATCGACTTGCCTGGGTGCAGACGTCTCCTATTTCCTTTGTTGCACGCGGAAAAGGGACGTCTGCGTAACGCCGTCGCTAATCGTGTTCCAGCGTTCCGCTGGCAGGGTATTCTATTTCGCATACCGTAAATCCTCTATTAAGTCCCCCCTCTCAAATAAGCCTCCGTCTTTAATAAGCCCCCCCTTTTCAGAGGAGGAAAGTCAATAAGCCCCCCCTTCCCCTCCCCCAATCCTTATTCTTCAGAAAAAAATTAACGATTAACATGGACTGATCAGTTATGGTTTATTCATAAAAATTACCGAAGAACATGAGGCCGAAAGCACATTTTTGAAGAGTAAGAATTTTGTTTTTGTTACTTTTAGGCTTCCACAAGTGAATTAAATACTTTTGACAGTGACTTTAATTGTACAACGCGTAAGTCTACTCTGTCTCATACCACGGTATTTTTGCTACAGGTGATACGTTTCGCTAAATTAAATAAGCCCCCCCCCTCTATTTTAAGCCCCCCCCTCTCTATTAAGCCCCCTCTCAAAAGTGCTTGAAAAAAATAAGCCCCCCGGGGGGCTTAATAGAGGATTTACGGTAAATTGTGAAATAATATCCGGTTAGAAATAAGAGTTGACAGGCCAAACACAACACCATAAGCTCGTAATAATGCGATACGTGACCTTGAGAGTCTGCTTGAACAGAGGTTTTTCATCTATTCTCTCTCGCGCGAAGGTTACTAGCACTACACAGTGCTTGTAGCATTCTAAAATTTGACTGAGTAAATCTCGTTTTTGCTGCACTAAGTCTTACATTTAGAGGTCATGAAGCAGGTTTGTTACATGCATACTGAGTAATCATTTCCTGTGGTTTATACTTCTATGGGTGTTCCCTGATAGGATTTGATTTCAGATGCAGTTGTAAAGTGTTTAAATTTTCTTAGACCTCTGTTTGTTAGGGCTAAATAAAGATTTTAGTTTCTTTGCCTGGCTTTCTCCGAAATGCCTGCCTGGTGCGAAGTCCACGCCGCTTTTGTAGTTTTCTCAGACACTGTTTACAAATATGATGTCATGTATCATGCACAGTAAAATTGTAAAGACATGATTTCCTCGCAAATGTTAAATTTTCCTCGGCCTCGCACAAGATTTCGAACGGTCTGCACACAATGGCACATGTTTTGATTTGTTGTTATCTGGAAAACCCCGATTACACAAATCACCGCATACATTATGAGACCAGATTCGATTACAACCAATCAGCGTTAAGCCAAACAATGCGCACTGTGTGTCAGCCTATCACAGCATGTTCCCAAGATCTTGAGAACCCAGCGGGACGCTGGAACACGATTAGCGACAGCGTTACGCAGACGTCCCTTTTCCGCGTGCAACAAAGGAAATAGGAGGCGTCTGCACAGAGGCAAAAGATCGACAGGATACTTACAATCATAATACACCACATGCGCAGACTGACAGTCTACAGAAGTGCCTACTGTCAAAACCCCATTTGCGAGAGGCTGAGGGACTGTATAAAGTGTCCTTATTAAGGTGGCTCGACTGGATTTTTTGGGGTTGATACCTCCCAACTTTGAGCATTAACTACGTCGGCACGAGTAAAGATATGGAAAAAAGGTTACCACAACTGTATTATATAAAGATGAAAATTTCTTATGATCTGGGTTTTATTGCAATCGGAGTCGTCATGGCAACGTAATGACGCCATTACGTTTTTCATGTATCGTTGTGTTTCTCTGTTCCAGGCGTTTTTTGAAAAAATCGCTTTAGGGAGTATGTACCTGCTATAATTGCCTCCATTATGGCAAAGTTTGAACAAATTCTATGAGAGCTTTTTCGAAATATTTTGAAATGTAGTTTTAAGAATAATAAAAACAGTGAAATAGCATGCTACCTACACAATTCGCTAATATTTCAAGAAAATGATAAGCTTTGGGAACGAGGCTTCATCTCATAGTGGTTTGATTCCATTGAAAACTGCATACGAAAAAAGAGGGGAATTGCTCTGGGCGATCGCGAGTAAGAAGAATTTTATTAACTTGCATTTAGCTGCTTTTTATACAGTTTTTGGACGTAATTTGGTCCATGCCTAATAATTTGGTCGATAAATTTTTCTATAAATTCGACAATCTCGAGATCAATTGTCAAGAAATATTCCCTGCAAGTTTTAAGAACATTGAAAACAGGGAAGGCTTTTAAATAGGGCCTCAAATATAGCCAATTTTTCCCCCAGATTTTGTGTTTACAAGTGAGCGTCCTCATTATTCACTAGCATTGTTTTCAAGTTTCATATACACGTGCACATTTAGCAAAAAGATAGAATTTGCAAATTGGCAAATAGCGGGGCGAGGTAAATATTCCTAAAGGCACTATTCACCGAGATTGAAAAGAATAATTGTTTTAGTATATACACAAGAAGTGATCTCAACAAACTCAGCTCAGAGAGGAAGGTTAAAAAGTACGATTTGATTGACAGATCAAATTACGCGAAAGTTTAAGAGCGGCTCCGCGTAAATGTCGACTAAACGTGAAAATAGTCAAAAAATGAGCTGGGGTCCGTTTCTCGAACGTCTCGATAATTAACGGGCCCGGTAAGCTGTCTCCGTTTACCTTAAAGATCGAGGTTTCAATAGTTTTGCATCTAACGTGATAAAACTGTCAGTTAGTGAAACAAAATGGAGCAGTTTGTTAGCCAGGACCCGCGCTCTTATTCTTTATAGTTTGATTTGAATATTTGATTTCGGGCCCGTAAAGTTACTGGGACTTTCGAGAAACGGGCCCCTGGCCTCAAACTCAGCCAGAATAAAGCCCTATGGGCCCTAGTTACAAAATCGTTGGTTTAAGTACGATCGAGTGAATAATATTTTTTTAACGAATTTTTTTCTTCCCGAGGCCTAAAATGGGCAAAAATCATGCGAAATTAGAGTCATATTCAGTAACTCGTAAATTTTGAAATTAAGTTGGCTACTAAAATATAATGACACTTCGTTCTTTTACTATCTTTCCTCTATAATTTTAACTGATTAGTTCGCGATTTGGTCAACAAGAGATTTTTAAAGAAAGTTTCAAAGTTGTTGACTCAAAATCGCTTAATCAACCGTCAAAATTTAGCACTTTTTCACGAGCTAAAAAAAGGGGATTGGTACATGGCTTTGAACACCAAGGCTTGTTTAGTCTGAAAGAGCATTCTTTTTTCTTCAAATTAGCGAAATAAAATTTTTGGGTAAATGAAAACACGAGCGCTGACAAAGCCAAGCAAATGTAAATATTACACTAAAAACGGGCGAAAAAACGTGACCTCTGACCGAAGCACAACCAAATGCGAATTACGGTAGGCGCCAAACCTTTAATTATTCGGTAACTTCTTGAGACAATATTGGTCCGAAATGTGTATAGATTTTTTAAATTTTAAACGGGCTGGTTCACGATAATGCGCATGCGCGCCGTTTGTCTCTTCAGAATAAATTTGTCTGGGTCAACACTAAATTCGAAATCGCCATTACCGGTACAGTATGTTGCCCAGTATCCGGACGGTACCAGTATCCGGACACTTGAAACAAAACTCAATTTTTGAGGCGCCCTTTTCAGCTCTCGGTAAACGAAGTATTTTGAATGAAAGCTGAACCTTTCAGCTTTAAGATGAAAGTTTTGGCGATTTGAAAGCTTGCGAAACAGTCGAGGAAGATGCCGTTCTGTTCAGGTCAGTAAACTTTTGATGGCTAATATTTACGCTGTTTACTGCGCAGTAAAATTAGTGCTGCTCAGAAAAGGGAGGGTAATGTGTGATATTTTCAAAGAAACTGTTTTATTTTTAAAGTGAAGATACTTAAGGAAGTCAGGTTTTCAGAAAGTTTATTAATTCTTCTTGAAATTCGATTTGTTTGGAATAACGGAGGCCAGAAAGTTTTGATGTCATGTGCCCAGTACCCGGACAGTTTTTTCCTTGCTGTACTGAATCGATGAATTAGCTGTGTACATTATCCGGATAAGATTTATTTCATATCAGTAGCTATAATTAAAGCTTGGGATATATCGTATAGTAGTAAAATGTAATTCTACTCAACTCCGTATGGAAATTTTCTTCACTCATGGGTCACTCATTCAGAGGCCACTTGATTTCGTGCGCACGGCTTGTTTCGCGTGACTGCATTTTCTAGATATAACTGAAAGCGTCGGAGTTGAACCTGGAATTCTCATACTTTTCCAAGTTGTGACTGCTAGAATGGGGTTGCAACGGTCTGAAAAATTTCACAAAGGGATTGAGAGATGTCAAAGAAGGAGGAATTAGTGCTAGAAAAGCAGGCTTATTGTGGAGACTGAGCAAATCAACACTGCAGGTCAGACTAAATAGGACAGCGACCTTTGACCGTCGGGTTGAGGTCCCTTCCCCAAGCTTTTTTTAAAATAAAAAATGAAGAAAAAAAGTCGTTTGCAGATTGACTAATTAAGCTTGCAAACTGCTGCTTCGGCATGTCCACTGATGCCTTCCTTAAATCAGTGAAAAAGTTCCTAGACAAGGAAGTAAGAATTATACCATTTTTAAAACAGCCGCTCGCGTTCCCCACCATACCCCAGTCATTTGTTATGTTTTATTTCACGATGCTAGGTTATATTTTTGGAATCGATTGCCAGGCTACTTTGCAAGTGCAAGAGAAGCTTATAAGTCGCTTGCCTGTCGAAATTTATGTACAGTTACGTTGTTATTGTTGTGTCCGGATACTGGGCCAGCTGTCCGGATACTGGGCAACATAGGAGCTCTGCAAAAATATTAATTTCGCGATGGAAACAAAGGCAAGGAAGTTAAACTGTCTTTCATCATATTAAGGACTAGATAGATTTTCTCTGGGCCAAATTTCAGAGCTCTTACGATTAACAAAGGAAAGTTATTGCAATCTTAAACTGAAGTGTCCGGATACTGGGCAACATACTGTACAATCATTGAAAATCCTTCGTTTTATTCGGACATCCGTCGCTTTGGCTGGTCTAGTTATACTTTGGTAGTGGTGATTAACGTGTGGTTGTGTCGTTTGACTGGTTACGTTTTAAGAAGACGCAAAAAATAATGTTTTGATCATGGAGGTTCAGAAGAGCATGTGGCCGTCCGGCAACAGGACGTTCTCAAGAGTCTTTGGAGATAGAGAAGCTTAGCCTATCGATCTGGTATGGTTCTAGGAGTAGTGTGTGGCTTACGAAAAGTATACACGACACTTGGAAAGTGGTTAAAAGTATGAGTTCGTTCAACGTTGATTTGATTTTTGACTCTGACCTGTAGTTATACCGCAACAGGCCGCGCGATCTTCACCGATCTGGTACACTTGAAATGTTCCTTGTATCTTTGCTTTACGATCGTATATGTTTAAGAATTGATGTTTTTAAAATAAATTATTGCCTGAATATTCTGTTTATAATCCAGTTTCTTTATGTGTGCTACTCGATAACATTTGTTTTGCGGAACACTGACCCAATGCAACGCGAATGAATTTGTTGCTGATAAGCATTTGAAATTTATGCTCATTTAAGGATAATCTTTATACTCATACGTTGTGCGTTTTTGTCACCGGTCAGGTGCTATTTGTAGGTATTTCTGGATTTATATAAGGCGAACTGAGAGAACAGTAATAAGATGTTTGTTTACAAATTTTGTTTGCCGATCGGTGACTGCTTTGTTAGCGTGGGTACGACCTCGTAAAAATACACGTTGGTAAATGTTTGTTTTAAAGCAGGACAGGGCTGTAGATCTTATTCTTATCGGCTGCGACATATATCTGAGGAGTAGCAAAGAATAAACTTGAATTATGGGGATAAATAATATCAACCCAAATGCCCGGAAATACTCTCGCGTCGCGAACAATTAATTTGAATTTTGTAAATTTACTTCCATGCATCTAACTCGCTTCCGATTGGTTGAAAAACAATCAGCTACTGTCAGAACTCACACATGCGCATTATCGTGAACCAGTCCCTTTAAATAAAGCTGAATTAAAGTATTAAGTGTCAAAAAGTCCACAAAGCGGTAAAAAATACAACAAAAGTCACGAGTAATCTGTTCCGTTTTCTGAATTTTACGCAGTGATTTATGCGATTTAACGGAATTGACAATTTTTAATCCAACGATACCCACCTGAGACTGTGTTAGTTTAAGAGTCCACAGAACTTCTCAGACGATTCCTCGGAAAGACCTCCTGAAGGAAATGAATGAAAAATTTGAACTTGTACAAAGGAAAAATAACGGATTCCCATTTTTGGATATTTTAGGGTATTTAAAGAATACCCATAAAAATCCCAAATTTGGCAAAGTGAGACAAGTCCCAACCCGAGAATTCCCAACCAAGTTCCCTGATTGGGACTTGTCTCACTCTTCCAAGTTTGGGATTTTTGTGAGTATTCTTTAAATACCCTAAAATATCCAAAAATGGGAATCGGTTATTCTTTCCTGTGATAACTGTAACAATTTCACTTGCCGCCACGGCAATGAACGAAAACAACTGTCGAACTGCCACAGGCAAACCAGCTTTCGGTGGAGTCATTCAAAGCATGTCATGTCACGTTACGTAATTCTGCCCCGCGCATTTGGGAAGGAGGGAAGAAATTCTTCCATGCTGTGCGCTAAAACATTTATGAAATAAAACAAGCTTTGGAATGTATCTTTTGCATCTAGTTAAAGAAAAGAATAACTTTTTCCCCTGTTTTTGCTCGAGGGGCGCTGTGCACTTCTTTTATTTTATCTGCTGTTTGTAATGATTGTGTTTCAAGTTCAGAACGTGCATCTATAGCTAGCAATTGGTGTGTTCGAATTTATACCGAATGCTGTAGAAAGGATATCAAAGGGTACCAAAGCAGTGGCGGATCCAGGGGGAGGGTCTGGGGTTCCGGACCCCCGATCAGACCCGATACTTGTTTGAGACTAAAATCCTTACAACGATAGGATTGCATGTCACTGTTTAACTGGCTGAATTTTTTAATGAAACGCGTGTTGTAATTTTCCACTAAACTAAATTCCAGGGATATTAAAAAATGTGATTGTAATTGGGTACCTTCCAATGATCTTTTCGTCTCTGCTCGCAAAGCGGTATTTCCCGCGCCAATGGCGACTGGCTTTCACAGATTGAGAAACATGTAGTCGTCTCTGCCTTCTCAGTGACTAGAGGGAGGGGGTGTGAGGGAAAAGTAATTTGCCACAAAAAAGTTCAACAGTCCTTTCTGAACCAAAATTTGGCCCTTTCCCCCCCCCCTCCCAAATGAAAAATTCCTGGATCTCCCCCTGCAAAGATGTTACTCTGAGTTCAGAGGCAATCAAGGCTTA